GCCCAGACGTTAGGTCTGTCCTTGGGCTGAATATTTATAGGGTCGAGGGGGTGCACAGATGGGCTCTCAATTGAATTCCATCTTCAACACCATCAGAGATTGATTTTGTACTTGCTTTTAATTTTGTCATAATTAATTAGATCATTACAACTGTTTGCTATTGATCTCCCTACTTAAACTTCTGGTGCACAGGGTGTGCCCAGAGCCCTAAAAGCTCAGGTGGCCACGGTTGACACTCCAGGGGTTCAGATTTCCCAGTGGGGACAAGGCCCTAGGAGGGGAATTGGGTACAGCCCAGGGATTGGGTCAAGAAGCTAGATCAAGGGTAGGGCTGGGGGTGGGACCTGGGTTATCAGCTGAAACAACTGGAATCTGAACTGGGGGAGAGGGGAGCAAGGAATGAAATTTGGGAAAGGTTAGGAGTGAGGCAAAAAAAGGCCTCAAATTAGGCCTTGACCTCTGTGGAATTATTTGGAAAACTCTGGAAACCTGATCCAACCCTCTCCCTCCCCCAAGTCCAAAACTAAACTTGGGTGCCTGACTTCCCACCGCTGTACACCACCAGGGCACCTAAAGGGCAGTTCAGAGCTGAGTTGGCAGCCCTGGGGGACAGGAGAAGGAAGAAAGGAAAAGAGAGCAGCATTCTACTCTCTTAGCCCTTTGGGTAAGCATTTTCAGATTCCTCTCCCCACTGGGTCCCCTGGGGCCTGCCACCTCTCCCCATGCCGCCCTGGATTTGTGGGGGGCAGCGGGCAGAGCCTTATCCCTACACAGGTTAGGCTCATCTACATTAGTGTTCACAATCGAATACACAAGACCCTACACACAGGTATACACAGTGTTTCCCCACCCACTGGCATAGGCCCAGCTCACACTCCCTTCTTAGTGGAAGCTAAGGCCTTCCCAATGCTCCCAACTTGGAGGAAGTTGTGCAAAATATCTGTACGCCCAAAGTAGAACGAGAAAGTACTAAACACACAACAGAAAGGAAAAAGCAAAGTTCTGCAAAGAGCCCAGGCGAAGTTGTAGAACTCACGTTTTCTGAGTGGAAAGTTTTTAGAAGGTTTAGAGGATACCGGGAGGGACGGCCCAGGAGGCCCCAGAGTCCGCAGAGCCTCAGTCCCCAGCCTTCACAGTAGCCCGCTGGGTACTGAGCACAGGGATGAAAGAGGAGAGGATCCTGCCCCGGCCCTGACCGCCCCCATCCATCTCCCCGCGTCCTCGCCCGAGGCGCGGACGGGTCTCTCCCGCTCTTACCTGCCGGACCCGCGCGCTCTTCCATGCTCGGCTCCCCGCCGCCGCCGCCGCGTCCTGGGCCTGGGTCTGGCTGTCCCGCTTCTCCGCGGCCGGACAACGCGTCTCGCCTTCGCCGCCGCCGCCCGGAGATCTGGGCGCAGCCACCCAAGACCAAGCGGCTCAGATAACCCGAGCCGCCCGCCGCCTCGGCTGTGTGCTCCGCCGGCGCCGGCTCTCTCACTCCCGGCCGCGCCGAGGCTCCGCCACCCCGAGGAGCCCCGGGTACTCCGCCCCGCGCACACGCGCGCACACGCACCGAGGCCCCAGCCAGCCGCAGGCAAGCAGCCACCCTCGCTGCCTGAGGCGCCCACGGACCGCAGCCCAGACTAGACACCCGCACACCCTCTCACCCCACCCCCTCTTCACTGTCACACGCCCCCCTCCAGTCCCACAGCCTGGCTCTCGCGTACTCCCCAACTTTGTGCGGTTCCCCTTCCCCACCACACTCAGCTCTCGCCTCATCCCACTTTCTGGAACGTGAGGCTCCACAGCCTGCCACACAACCCCGAGTCCCAGCCTCCCTTTCCAGGATCTCCACAGACGTGCCCTAACTTTCTCAGGCCACACGGTGGTTCCGGAGGGCCCTGTCCCCACTATGTTCAGTGTGGAAGTGCTCGCTAAATCCCTCATAGGTTCTCCTGCTCCAGGAACTTTTTTATTTTTAAACTCTAAATAAAAGAAAAAAGTTCTGGCTTCCTTGCCTTTAAAGAGACGGCGAGGGCCGGGGGAAAGGAAGGAGGAACTCACCCCTTCCAAGCTCCTGCCACACTCACAGGGACACCCGCTTGAGCCATGCCTGTCCACAGCATTCTGGTCCCAAATCTCTTATATCCTCAGACTCACACCCTCCTCTCCCAGCACACTGACACTTCCAACCCTGATGAAAGGCCCACCTTAGCTTTGCCCCACATCACTCCCTCTCAACCTGGAATTGACACCTCTCACACCTTAGCCCCAAGCTCTCCCTAAAACTCTCACACCCCCTTTGCTCACCTGTACCCTCTAGTACTCCTACTTCTGATACACACACACCTCCTGAGGACCACAGCTCCCACTCCTGCTTGCCCCAGGGTTCCCCTTCTTCATTTGCTCCACTTAATACCCCTACCCACTTACCATGGGCCTCCCACTTCACACAGCCTGGCTCACACTTACGGGGAAACACTGAGAGACTATCAAGGAAAGTGCTGGGCAAGCCTCCGTGGGCAGGCAGAGGCTGGGGCTGGCCCCATCTTGAGCATACCCCACCAGGCCCCAGGCAGGAAGGCACCAAGGCAAGCCAGGCAGCAGGTTCACCAGGCCCACTGGGCCAACTTTCCTTAGGAATTGGAAAGGGGATCCCACCACTTCAGCTGAACTTCCTCTAGAAAGGTTGTATAACTAGGGACGGAAGCCGGAAGGGCACAAGAGCCCAGAGGCAAATGGTTCTGTGACTTATAATATGGTTCTGTGACTTAAAATTTAAATATCTTCCTACAGACATACGATTTTTTTACCCTTTGAGGCAAATTGTGGCCAAATTATCATCTTACTAATATCTGTGATTTAAAATATGAGACCATGGTGTTGTTTTTTTTCTGTCTATTTTTCATCAAACAGTGATTTTCCAACCCAAGCCCACAAATACTTAGAAGCGAAAAAAAAATTTTTTTTCACTTTGTTATCCACAGAGCAACATTTCCAAGGACAGGGATGGAGAGCAATATGTATACATGAGACCCTAGTTACATACACAAAAATCTCACACCGTCATTGTGTGGTCCCTCCATTGCATACATGTGAGATGATCACACATGTAACTAACCTTTCGCTGTCACCTACTCAGAACCACACCCACTCACACACAGGGACTGTGACCTGCTGAGTCTCAGCTTCACTGCACAGCTCTTTGTGCCCTTTTGTGGCCTTTTCTCTGAAATAGTGATTATAATCCTTGCCCTTCTAGCAGGTTTCTCGTGAGACAGTATGTGTGCAAGTGATTTGTAAATTGTGAAGTATGACCACACATACTTCCGGTGCTTTTGCTTCTGTTCTATCAGAGACTTGAACTGAGGCCCAATGTACCAGACCCATACATAGGGAAGCACCCACTGGGAGCCAGTGTTTTGAACTGGGAACACAAAACACACGTACTCAGTGTCCCCTGCCTGCTCCTGAGCCAGTTGGTCACAGTTACCTGGGCACAGGGCCCAGAGTTGGGGCAGTGCCAAGGCCGGGGCCTAGGATCAGGGGAAGGGAGCTGAGGCCATTGTGCAAAGTCGCCTGTTGCGTACCAGAGGGGCCATGAAGAGGAAGGTGACTTCTTACCTCTGGCTCTGATACTCTTCCTCCGGAAGCCTGCAAAGTGATGTCAGTCAAAGGGCCCAGCCCTGTACCTCAGACTCCCTCCAGCCTCCTCCCTCAGGCTCAGCCTCTCTTTGTCTCCTGGCCCTCACCCCTGTCCTGCACTGTCTCTTGGGCCCTCTTGCTCATTGCCCGCCCCATTGATTGAAAGTCTCTCTCGGGTTCTCCAAGGAGTCCCAGGAAAAATGATCCGCCAGCCTATTGATTCTTCATTAGAATTACATTTTCACGTGTGCTAAATTGGTTTTAAAAGCTTTTTCTGTTGTTATTGTCTTGTCAGACCCTGAGGTCCAGGGCAAACCAAGTTTAAATGTTGTAGCTTATTAGGAGAAAAAATAATCACTGGGGCTGGGTCTGTGATTACTGGCTTCTCTGCCTTATTGTTGTCATGATGACAATTGTGATTTGGTTTAAGTATCTTTAGGAAAAGGGCCCTGCAGGAGGCTGCTCAGGTCAGGCTGGGGCTAGCTGGTGAGAGAGCTGAAGCCCCTGAAGGAGAGGTGTCAGGGCAGTTTTTCTTTTCCTGAAAATTAAATTTAGCACTTGAGCCTGTATTAATTGCTTCTGGGACAAGATGAAAAGCAAAAGTTTTCAAAAAATCATTTTTTATTTCCTCACTCCTGTTCCAGATCAAATACAGGAGAAATAACAAACAGGACCCTCACTTCTTCTAGTTCCCTCCCTTCTCCCCTAAATAGCTGGGGAGAAGGGAGGAGCATCAGTCTCCACCAAGGTGCTAGGGAGAGGTTGCAGCCTCCCGCTTTGTAGCAGGGCAGAGGCCTAGTCACAAGGACTGGTCATCATTATGCTTTGCACTGGCTAGGGAGGAATGAATCCGAATGGTGGGGAACAAGGGGGAAGAGAGAGGCAGAAACTCCAATAGAGGGAGGAAGAGAGGAGAACCAGAGAGGGAAGGGTTCAGGGCCCAGACTGGCAGAGAGAGAGAAACACTACCAGAGACAGAGGCAGAGAAGTACAGGGCAGAGGAGGAGGACAGAAATGGATGGGAGGAAAGGAGGAAAAAGGGAGAGAGGGAGACAGAAATAAGGAAAGAAGGGAACAAGAGAGACTGAGAAGAGGAAATGTACAGAGGAAGGAAATGAGAAGGAAAAACAAGAGAGAAAGGGAAGAAAGAGACCAAGGCAGGAAGAGGAGCAAGCCCCAGGGAGCTCTCAGCCCCTCCAGCCTGTCCTGCCTCCAGCAACCCCCCTACCCCAACTGCTTCTGGCCTGGCAACCCGCAGGCAATGCTTAGGAGTGGGTACCAGGCGGCAGCAGAGCCCAGGCAGGAGAGCCGAATGTCTTCGTGATGTGTTTATCCCCTAATCAGTTCATTAGTTATAAACAACATGACATTAGAAGTTAGGAGGCAGTTGATATTAATTTTTATTTAACTAGTTGATGTTTAATCCGTCACGCCAGGCTGGGTAGCAGCGAGAAAGATCTTCCTGACACAAAACCAGTTAGAACTTCATAAGGCGCAATCAGTGTCCGCGCGCTGAAACAAACAAGAGAGACAGAGAGACAGGGAGAGACAGAGAGACAGTGGCAGCCCTGCCAGAGATGGAGCCAGAGATGGAGTCAGAGACGGAGACAGGTGGAGGGCTGGGAGAGAGCTAACCCAGGGCGAGAACTGGGGGAAAATAAACTAGAAAGGCAGAGAGCTCAGACAGCTGGCAAGGGGCTGACAGCCCTGAACCTGGGCTCCAAGCCCAGGACAGCCCCGACTTAATAGGAACCAGGAGACCAACGCCCTGGGAAAGTCCGGCCAGGGCAGTGGCGGGGTGGTTGGCCAGGGACCTGCCAAGCCTGGCCGCTGCAACTACTAGCTCCTTCCGGCAAGGAATGTGTTTAGTGTCCGTCGGTCTGGTGGGGTGGCAAGGGTCTAATGTCACAGCGAGGCGGGCCCTGACTTTCCGAAACTCCTCTCCCAGGTCTGGAGGCCAAGAACCTCTTCCCTCCCTGCTCCAGGAGGAGCCGGCCCAGGCAAGAGAGGAAAGGAGAAAAGGGCGTGAAGTTTGCACCCAGCAGTTCAAGTTTCACAAAGTTTGTTGCGGTCACAGAGAGGGGTGTGTGTGTGTGTGCACGTGTAAGCTCGGCAGTGGCAAAGAGGGAGGAAGTAAGAGACGGCGTGGGGATTCTGCAGGCAGGGGAGGGCATTTCCCTGGGTTTGCCTAAGCCTTCAGGAGCGTCCCTGCATGCGGGCTCCTCGGGTGGCGGCCCTGGTTGCAAGTCTAAGGTCCCCTTGGCTTGCCCGGATTAATCTCCCCCTCTCAACCCCGCCCCCGAGCAGGAGCGCTCGGCTTTTTCCACCTTCATTCTGGGCACCGGCGGGCACTGGCTTTGTCACGGCTTCCTGAGCAGGCACGGGAGCGGGGGCGGGCTGTAGTTTTCCGCCGTCGCGAAGGACACTGTTTGGGGCGACAGAGGCATCTTCGCCCGCGCGTAGACTCAAGCCGAACATCTCACCGTTTGCATGTTAATCTGAGTCCACCGAGAAAAGGAAATCGCTGGAATTCCGAAGAAAATTGCCTCTCGCCGGCGGTTAATAGTTAACTCAGACAGGAAAGTTCCCAGGGAAAGGCGAAAGCCAGGGCGAGAGGTACAGGGGAGGTGCCCCGGGAGGGCCTCGGCCATCCCCGGTCTCTCCCCTCCCCGGCCGCGCTCGGCCCCGCGCGCCTCCCCTTCCCGGGCGGCGCATCCCCCACCCTGTAATTAGTATCGTTTAGTTCACAAAACCTTTCCTGGGAGAAATCTGTTCCCTCGTTCCGGGGCTCAGTTCAGCACCTGATTCCGCCGGGTGAGGCGAATAAATCACTGCGGCGGCGGGGGAGCCGGACCCAAGCCCGCCAGACGGTGGCCGCCGGGAGAACGAAAAAGTGAGAAAGAGGCGGCGGAGCCAGGAAAAATGATGCAGGGAAACGGCGCAACCCTAGCCCAGGAAGAGTGAGGGGCCCGGGAAAGGGAAAGCCAGAGAAAGAGAGGGACCCAAAGGCAGAGAAGGGGCCAAAATGGAAGAGGGAGATACAGAGACAGGAGACAGCCAGGAGAGTGACAAGGAAAAGCGAACGAAAAGAAAGGGAAAATGAGGGAGGGAAATAAGTTAAAGAAACAAGAGCGAAGAGGGAGATTAAGAAGGAAGGGACAGGCGAATAAAGAAAATAAAACCAGAAGAGCGAAAGCTTTTGTTTATCTACAAAACTCCCTTGCAGGGCGCGCTTCCCCGACCGCGCCCTGCGGCGGGGAGGGCCAGGGCTCTCGCGCTGAGGCCGCAGACCCAGGAGGCCCGGGCGGGGCGCTCAGCCTGTGCGCTTGGGGCGCTAGGCGGGGTCCCGCGCGGACCTGGACTCCAAGTTGAACTTCCGGGCTCGGGACGCGCCGGAGCATCTGCCCCTGGAAGGAGTGGTGTTTGGGTGTGGGGTATCATCCTGGGTCCATGTCGGGGAAGGGGACGGATAGATAAAAGGTTCACGGCTCGTTCTTGGCGCCTGGGACTTTCAGCCCTGTTGCGAAGGGAGGTGGGAAGGCGGGAACCCGGGCTGGGCAGGCTGTGGCCGCTAATCATAGAACCCCAACGTCCCCGCAGCTCGGACTTCTCATTCTTCAGCCGGCCCTGGGAGAACTCCCTTCTTGCGGATGTCGTGTCCAGGCTGGCGCGCCGGGCCACAGATGCAAGGAAAAAGTAACGCAGCCAGAACCGCCACCTGGCGCCAGCGGAGGGCGCATTTCCTGAGCTGCCTTCCCACTGCGACCCAGAGACGCGGATCAGATTCTGCCCGCTCCCAGGGTCTGCTCTGGCTTCAGTGTCCCCAGGCCAGAGGGTAGGGAGGAAGAAAGAAGACGAGAAAGTAGCGGGGGCAGGAGTGGGGTGGGGAGGAAAAGGGATGGGAGAAGGGTTGGGGGGGGAGGGGGCGGTGCAGAAGAGAAGCAGATTGCAGTGAAAAGTGGAAATGCAGACCAGATGAAAAGGAGGGCTTAAGGATGCTAGGGAACTTTCCCTCTTCGGTTTGACTAGGTCTCCGGGTAGACAGAGGTGGGAGCGCCCAGTTTCCCGGCCTCACCATTTTGAGCCCCTGTGCTTTGGCGCCTCCAGGACGTCGGGCTGAAGACTGAGACCCCAGCAGGACCGCTGGAGGCTCCTGTGTGAGGAAGACCGGGGTCACAGAGTGGAAGACTTCCCTGCCCACTAGGCAGCCCCTGGGATGACAAACGCCCTGAAATTTTCCAGCCTTTTGAGACTTCTGGGTCGACCTGGTCCAACCCACTCTGCTCCTCCTTTCTCCTCCTGTCCCCTCCTCTGGCACTGGCTGATGGGTCAGCTGCAGAGCTGGACTAGAGGAGTGGAAAAACAAACAAAACAAAACAGAAAAAACGTCCAGGAAGGAGACTGGTAGCTCAATCAGTTCTTACTTCTGCATGGAGACAGAGTGCAACTGATGCCTAGACCAGAATTCTTTGGAAGTAGGAAGGCAGCGACCGAGCTGGGCTAACTCAGAGAATCAAGGCACCAGTCAGTCAGTAAACCGGGATCAGGGCACTGGGGCTAGAGAGGTGAATCACACACTGGCCCTGTTTTCAAGGAAGACATTACCTGGTTGCAAAGACAGACAGAGCTATCAACCAATAAATTCTAGGAAAGGGTCAAGATAAAGGTGACTGGGGATACAGAGAAAGGCAATTGGGGGTGTCAGGGAACACTTTGTAAAGGGAATGGGGTTTTTCAAGATCAGTAGATGTCCACTAAATGCAGGAGCTAAGCAGGTGAAATATTCCTAGGCAGAAGGAACCTCAAGATAAAAGCATGGGGCGGGGCGGGGAGCGGGGCAACAGCCTACCTAGCTGGGGAAGGAGAAAGGATTCTGTGAAGCCAATATATGGGTGAAGTAAGGGAAATAAGGCTGGGAAGTGGGCAAGGCCTAGAGCAAGGAGCACTTTTGCTAAGAGTTTTGCTTTTCTCCTTTAGGTCACGGACACAATTGAGAGATTTTTTGTTTGCTTGCTTGTTTTGTTTTTGTTTTTGAGACAGGGTCTCACTTTGTCACCCAGGTCAAGTGCAGTGGCGCTATCACAGCTCATTGCATCCTCATCCTCCCAAGCTCAAGCAACCCTCCCACCTCAGCCTCCTGAGTAGCTAGGACCACAGGTACATGCCACCACACCTGGCTAATTTTTTATTTTTTGTAGAGACGAGGTCTTGCTATGTTGCCCAGGCTGGCTTTGAACTCCTAGAGGCAAGTGATTCTCTCACCTTGGCCTCCCAAAGCACTGAGATTACAGGAGTGACCCACCATGTCTTGCTGGGAGATTTTTTCAACAGAGGAATGAAAAGATCTGATTTGGAAGGGAAAGACTCTATGGACAATGGGCTGTAGGTAGAGAGAGCATCAGAGACTGAGTGAGTGGTCTGCAGAAGCAGATGTGAGGCCTCAAAAAAGTCTAAGGGATATAGAAGCATTAGATGAGACAGGCAGAAACAAGATGGTCACAGATTGTGTGTGTGTGTGTGTGTTGTAGGGTGAGATGCTAAATTAAGGTCAACCTAGGTTTCTGGGTGAATTTCATCTCATTTCTGATTCCTCCCCTCTACCTTCCAACCCTCTTCCCTTGCAAATCCTCACCTGTAGTGGTTGTGAAGTGGAGACCCACATGTCCTGTCTCACTTGACAAATGGGTTTTTCTCCCAACCTCATGCACCCTTTACCGGGCAGTCTCATAGAACAATGCACACTACAGAAGATGATAACTTCTCACTAATCCCAAGACATCTGAGAAAGCAGCAGGCAAGAGTAGAAGATGGAGTCAGCAGTCTGGAGATGGACTCCACCTTTCTCAGATCTGAATGTACCAGCTATGTGACCTTGGGCAAATCCCGTGGCACTTAGGCACTCACTCTGCCTAAGTGTTCACATCTATAAAATGGGGACAAAAATTTCTGCTTTATAGAATTGTTGGTCAGGTTAAGTAAGTTTATATCTTCCTGGCACATTGAAAGAACACATTTCATCCTGTTATTTCATTCCCTACCCCCACCCAAGCCTTGGACTTCTTCATGCATTGATTGAGCTTTGTCTCCTGCACAGGTACAGGGTGTCAGGGGTACAAAGAGCAGTAATGTAGTGATACTCTGGAAAAGTTGTCAACAAGAGGAAAGGCCTTGTACTCCACTGGAGCAAAGTTAATGATAATAACAACAAAACAACTAACATGTCTGAGGGCTGACCGCATGTCAGGTATTGTTCTGAGTGCTTTATAAGTAGTAATTCCTTTAACCGTCACCTAGTGTTATGAATCCCATTTTACAGATGGGAAAACTGAGGCACAGAGAGCTTTAGTAACTTACCCACAATCACACAGTGAGTAGGTGGCAAAGGTTAGGTTCAGATCTTACCTTTGCCACCTACTGCCTCCCTAACCTACACTCTTTAAGCATATGCTGTATTAGATACTCCTAGTCCCCAGAGGGAAGTCAGAGGGGAAGAAACCATTCCGGCTGTGGCTGAGAGGACTCTTTAAGGACATCAGTTGGTGAAACACAGGAGCCCTCCACCCTCTGCCTTCCAGATCCTCGCGTCAGTCCCCTTTCACTCCCTCCACACTCTGCTATTTTGTCTGCCCAGGGCCTGTAAATCAGATAACTCAGATCTGACTGCTGCAGGCAGACTAGCCAAGACTGTGAGGCTGCAGGGCTCCCCAGCCCTCACTCAGCCCTTTAGGAAGCTCTAGGGCCCCCACGCCAAGAAGTGTTTTTTGTGTTGAGAGACTGATTTTTCCCAGTCAGGTCTTGCCCCTCTCCAAGATGCCCTCAGGCTCTCCCAGCTTCCAGTCCTGCAGCCTCACCATGGGGATGTCCTCTCCATGCCTTGTCCAGCTGGGCTTAGCCTCTGATCAGGCCTAAGTGGGCCCTGATCCATAACACCAGCCACAGCAAGAATTCCCTAGACAGATCCTGATGGGCCACACGCAGGCCTGACCTGGGTTGCCCCATGCAGATCCTCCATGAGACTGGCCAAGGTCCCTGAGAACTGCAGAGCACAGAGGACCCTGCCCATGAGCCCATCCTGTCAACAAGCTCCTGTGTCCACACAACAGGCACTGTGGCTGGCCTCAGAACTGACCTCACTGTGGCCAGAGCTACCCCCATCCCATATCCTAGAACTGCCCTATAGTTCCTCCTTCCTGTCATTTTTTGTTTGTTTTTTTGAGACAGAGTCTCACTTTGTTGCCTAGACTAGAATGCAGTGACACAATCTCAGCTCACTGCAACCTCCACATCCCTGGTTCAAGCGATTCTCCTGCCTCAGCCTCTGGAGTAGCTGGGATTACAGGCCTGCACCACGCCTGACTAATTTTTGTACTTTTAGTAGAGACAGGGTTTCACCATGTTGGCCAGGCTGGTCTCGAACTCCTGACCTCAAGTGATCTGCCCACCTCAGCCTTCCAAAGTACTGGGAGTGGAGGTGTGAGCCACTGTGCCTGTCCAGTTCTTCCTTTCTCTAGGCCTGCAATCGTCTTTCTTTTCTCTCCTTGGACAGGAGTTGTCTTTGCCAGAAGATAGAAGCTGAAGTTCTGAAATGATTCAGTTCTGTGGAGACCAGAATGAGTAGGAATGAAAATATGTGTGTTGGTGGAGGAGAGGCCAGGGCTTGTTTTTGAAGGGTCTCATTTTTTACTGGAATGTAAGCATTTCCTCACCAAGTAAGACTGAATGGCCTCTTCCAGATGACCTTTGAATTCTTTAAAATAGTCCCCGTAGCTCAGCAGATGCTATTCTCAAAGTGCTAGTATCGTGCAGCCAAACCATTGAGGCACTACTTTTGGAGGTCTGCCTTCCTAGCTCGCAGTCCAGGCTTTTGAAAACCCGTCCTCTAAGACGGACAGGGTGTCAGGCCACAGGCCAAGGCATTCAGAGCAGACCCTGGGGGTGAAGGTGACTGGATGCTTGTAAATCAGAGAGAAGCACTTTCTGTCTTGCCACCCCTCCCTGGCTCTACCTGTCAAGGAAAAGTGTGTGTATGGGGGGTGAGGGGTGGTGGGGGACAGGGTACCCCTGAAGTAGGTGTGTCCCTTCCCAAGGACAAGTTGCTTCTCTCAGTTTCCTCATCTGAGAAGTGGGAAGCCTCATCCCTTCTGCATGGAGAAAGTAAAGCCTCAGAGCTCCCAGCACAGTGCCTGGCACACAGTAAGGGCCCCATAAGTGTCACTGTCATGATCATATGCCTTCAAGCAGCCCGCGCTTGCGCCAGTCCCAGGCTCAGGGTTCACGGCAATCCTCGACACCTGTGGGAGTTGGGAACTGGGGGTGGGGGTGGGGTGCGCTTTCTCTAGCAGAGCTGTTCCTCACCGTCCTACAGCTGCGGGCCTGGGGCTGGGGACCTGCTCGCCTACCCCGGCGCGGAGCCTGATGCTCGGCTGCGCTGGCGCGCGGGCCAGGGCGGAAGGTTGGACGGCCGGGTCGGAGGCTGGCAGGGGTGAGGAGAGCCGGATGGGCGCAGAGGGACCCTGCAGCCCGCAGCCTGAGTGAGAAGCGAGTCTGGTCGCCGCCGCCGCCGAGGAGCCCGCCGGGCTTGGAGTTGCCCCGGGGCCCCACGAGTTCTCCGCACTCCAAGCGCCGCTCTCCCGCGGCCCGCCGCGCCCCGCCCGCCGAGCGCGGGAGCTCGATTAATAATCATAAACCCCCCGCTCACCCTCCTCTTAAAATTAATAACTCTGTAATTAGAGTCATTTCAGAAGCCTCCTGAGCCGCCGAGGCCGGCCGGGCCGGCGTCCGCCCGGCGCGGTGGGCAGGAGGGAGGAGGAGGCAGGGCGCGGCGGCCGCGGCATCTGCAGGTACAGAATGAGAATTAAAATCGCTCTCAACAATCCAATACACTTTTTATCAGTCATCTATCTGAGAGCCGGGCCTATTCATCATCCGAGGCATTCTCCCTGAAAACAAGACCCATTCAGATTTTATACAAATTATCATATTTATCATCGTCTCCAACTCCGGAGTAACATCTCCGCAAAGTGTCTGCTGTCTCCCCGGGGAGCCGCGCAGCTCGGAGCGCCCGAGCGCCCGCCCGGCAATTCCCCCATCGAGCCCCTCCCCTCATCCCTTCCTCCCCACCCCGCCCCCCACCTCGCGGGCCTCCTCTCTGGCCTTTGATCCACCGGCTCTGCTTCCCCCGCTGCTCTTTCTCCCCCACCCCCAACTTCCCATCAATCTCTCTCC